TTTTTCCCCCCACATTTTATTTACTATACCCTAAGCAGGGCTCTGATTTCCCCTCATCCTGCCATGATTACAGCTAGAGTCCTCTGCCAGGGATTCAAAACTTGGTGGACAATTTCCTCTGGGCTTATAAACTCACTGTTGTTCTCCTGCTGCTTTGAGGAGATGAAAAGCAAATCCATGAGCTGCCAAGAATCACACCCAGGCAGGGATGCAGTGCTGCAAGAACTGGTCCCTGCTCAGTGCACAGGAGACAGACATGACCCTGGGATGAGTTCATGGGGTCACACCTTGACCCTGATGGAGACCCTTCATCTCCCTGTGCCCCTGTGAAGAGCAGAGAGGGATTAAACTGTAGGACTGCAGTCCATTTGCATGGAACAGAATGAACAGACCCGAGCCACAAATCACTCAATATTTTAACAGGCTCCGAGAGGTTTTTCTTCCTTGCTTTAACCCTTTGTGGGACCTCAGTGCCTGCTGGATATGGCTGGTGAGCAGTCCTTGAGCACAGGTGGTGATTCTTCCCCTTTTTCATACCAGTCAGTGCCCTGCATCCACGCTGAGGCAGGTGGCTGAGAAAACCCCTCTGGGCTATGTGTCAGTGCAAGTGAACTGTTGGGAGCAAATTGTGTATCAAAAGTAAATACAAACATCAGTCCTAACTGCAAACACATCACTGAGTGACTTTAGCTTTGCAGAAAATCCCAGTGTAACTGGTCACAGAGTCAGGTTTTGAGCACGAGCTGAGGGTTACACTGGAGCTGGTGGGATTCTGTGTGCAAGCGAATGGTGCCAAACAGGAGCTGGGCAGTGGGCTCCCAAAGGGGGAGTGCCATGGTTTAGCAGATGCTATGAACAAAATAAACTCTACTGCATGCAAAACCAGCACGGTGAGACACAGCTGGGGATTGCAGTCGGCACCAGTGCTCATCCTGCGTCCATAGGTGGTATTTGAGTGCTCTCTAGTGGACAGAAAACGGATACAGAGGCGAACAAAACTGATGTGCTGTCCCTAAGTCACCCTCAGCTGAGTGTCTGAGGCATTGGGTCTGTAATACCCACACACCATGGGCCTGTGCTGAGTGTCTGGGAGCAGGATTTGCAAGGGGCACTTGCAGCCAGCTCTCCCTGATCTGTGACGCTTCATGGCAGAGGTTTGATGAGAGAGCAGAGCAGGGTGGCAGGGGATGCCCACCTCACCTGGTAAGAGCTGACTCAAGGACAGGAACCACCTCAACCCCTTTACACTATTTTTCCTTGCTTTTCCTTGTGTTGAAGGAAACACCAGCAGTTCCTGCTCCTGTGTGTAGTCAGCAGTCAGAAGAGCAGAGGTACTGTGGAAGGAGAATAGAAACACTGGTCATGGAAGGGAAGAAAGAAGTGGGGAAAAAATTATATGAACTCGTTTCCCAGCTCCTAGTGAGCCTCCAGGAACCCTTTGCTCTGAGAGCCCTGCCAGTGCTGGATTTAGTAGCTCTGAGGGAAAATATTCTTTGTTTCACAAAGTGATAAGCAACTGAGTAAAGTGGAAACCTAGACTATGTCATTGTAAAAACAAGATTATCAAGGAAGTCAGCTCAGGACACAAGCCATAAAACAGTTATGTAGTAGGTACTCCCAGACCAGCAGAACCATAGTGCTGAACCCAAATGTTCAAAAGGTGTCCCAAAATCATGACATTCATAAGGATATTGTATTGCAGTTGGGATTTACTTATAGTAAGTATCTGAGTTTTGAGTTCTAAGAATAACTCATTTTTCTTTTGCTTCTGTGAAATGACAGCTAAAAGATTTTTTTATGATGGTGATAGTAAAACCAGAAACAGCCACTTGACTCATGAAACAGCAACACCTCTAGTTAAAGAGGCTATATGCATCTTCCCACAAACTCTTTGTTTAAAACCTGACTTCTCCATTACCTCTGTGTTGGGAGGGATATTATTTAGCCTTCCTGGATGATACCATTTTTCAGTATGAGTTCCTCCTTCCCAATGCTCAGACATCTTGAAGACAAAAAAACCCTCCTTCAACATCCTATTGGGCCTAGTTACTTGTCTCCCACTCATTCTTTTCCTTCAATTTCTAAAAGCTTTTGACTGAAATCACTTACCTTTTCTTTGAATATATTCTCTCACTTGGAGCAGTCATCTTTGGCCTTGCCTCATTTATGCAGAAACCACAGAGGTCTAGTACAGTGCCACACATAACCTGCAGTAAAAGAACATGCATTTGTATTTAGGCAGTTATTCTATGCAAATGAATTAATAGTTTTACTACAGAGGCTATGCATAAATTAGGCTAGTAAATACAGACTGCATGAATATGCTGATTGAATTTGCTGAGGGTATGGAAAGAAAGGGGGGAAAAAAAACAGAAAAAGAATGGATAAAAGTAAGTCAAGCAACGTACCATAGCAGTCAGTACTGCAGAGCTAAGAGGCAGGGGAAAAAGACATAAATCCCAAAGAAAATAGTCCTGAAACTTCAGAGAGTTTATTTGTCTTTCCTTTGCTCATAGAGAATTTAACTGAGGCAAAGGGGATCACGAAAGAGAGAGGAACAGCTGAGGGTAACCCAAGCAGTAGGTAGGAAAATGTACATTTATAAGTGATGACTGTTACTGGGATTGGTTCTCAGATTCTTTGCACATTCTCACATAGGCTTTTTCCTGCAGGTTTCCAGTGGATAATTGAGTTTAAAAATTGGTTAAGTGGAAGAAATTTTCTGTGTAACATCCAAAGCAACACGGGAATCAAACTCCAAGTATTCTGGAGGTTGCTTTTCAAGGCAAGTCAATGCTCAGCTCCTGCAGATAGCTCTGCTGGCATATTAGTTTTCTCCTGACAGGTTTGATTTGTGTCCACCTTTTATGCAGAGGTTCACTCTTCACAGTCACCATCTGAACAAAGACCCTGCCCTAACCTTGTGGGAAAATCAGCTGATTATTTCCACAACTTCAGAGGTTAGCACCACTGAGGCACTTGTTTTATTCCTATGTTATGACGATTCAGGCTGTGGAGCTATAAAAATGCCATGTATGACAAGACTTGTTAGGAAATCAGATAAACAGGCATTGCTCAAACTTCTCCATGAGTACACAGACAAAGCATACACAGCCTCTCCAGGACTAAGAGTGGCAGCTCACTGGGGTCAAGCAGACACTTCTGTTTGGGGAGAAAATCCCCAGCTTTTGAAGCACCTTCACAGGCACTTGGCAACATCTGGAAGGACACTGCTCAGCAAGCATTTCAGTGGGAACTCATGGGCTCAGGTCCTGCTCTATTTTTGCTGTCTTAGACAGCAAACTGCCAGCTGCTTATTCCTTGTTACTATCTGAATAACTTGCATTATCCAGGAAGTCAAATGGGAACAAAAATGCCATTGGATAAGCAATTTGTTTAGCCATAAAACTATTCATTATATGCTTTCAGGAACTCCACCCCAGGGGTTTTTAACCCTTCAGAGGCCACATGAGAACGATTCATGTTCCAAAAGCACTTTCTGGTGGCTTTCAGCACTTCTGGAAACTGCAACTCCTGTGCCAGAAAGGCTGCAGCTGGGTGGTGGTGTTTACACACTGCTTAACAAAAGGTTTATAGTGGCAGGGAGAGAAAACAATGGGGATTTAGGAAGGAACCCCACCTATGAAGTCTCCCTTTTTTTTTGTTTTGACTCATGAGTTTCATGTTCCAGATTTTTTGTTTCACCACAAGCATCAAAAGATTGTTCTGTGTCCGCTACTTTGGACTGCTCTTGATTTTGACATTTCCATCACTCCCAAAGTCCTCCAGCTGTTCCTTTCTGGGGTGAAAAGTCTTAATCCACCCACTAGGTCCTCTTTCAAGGGCTGATCCTCTCTGGGGACACTGCTGCATAACCACTTGAGGTGCTGAGCCTGTTTGGAGGCTGGCTGCATTGATGCAGTGTCAGCATCTGTTTTTCATCACTTTTAAGATTCTCTGCCCGTGGTTTCTGTCTGTCCAGAGAAGGAGAGCAGAGCCGGTGAGAAGGGTCTGGAGTACAAATGTGATGAGCAGCAGCTGAGGGAGCTGGTGGTGATTAACCTGGAGAAAAGGAGGCTCGGGGGGAACCTTATCACTCTCTACCACCACCTGAAAGGAAGGTGCATGGGGGGGGAGTTGGTCTCTTCTCCCAAGTAACAAGTGACAGATGAAGACATAGCCTCGAGTTGCACCTAAAGAGGTTTAAATTGGATATTAGCAAAAAATTCTTCATTGAAAGGGTGGTCAGGCATTGGGACAGGCTGCTCAGGGAAGTTGTGGAATTGCTGTCTCTGGAAGTGTTCAAATAAACATGTGGATGTAGCACTTGGGGTTATGGTTTAGTGGTGAACATGGTAGATGGTTAAACGAGTGGATCCCATGGTCTTAGAGGTCTTTTCCAACCATAACAACTTTGTAATTCCGTGATTCCACGAAGCTGTGCCAGGTGCGAAGCTTTTTTCCCAAGCGCTTCCCTGCAGGAGCCAGCGCAGAGGACCGCGGGACAACCAAGGGCCCAGGTAGGCCCAGCAGCCTGCAAACAAACAAGGCTGCCGGCCCTGCCGCGGCTGCCTGAGGGGCAGCAGAAGGACCAGCTGCTTCCCTGTTCTTTCCCAAAATAAACTTCAGAACACACAGCCGCTCCGAGGTGTGTGGCCAGGCTGCGGCGGTGGCCGTGCCCTGCACCCGGCTGGCGCTGCCTAGGGATGCGGCTGGGGAAGCAGCGCCGTGCCCACAGTGTCAGCGGGAGATGCGTGCGAGCTGTTTCCCGTGAGGAGGAAGAGCAGCGCCCAGGGATGCACCGAGCCCGGGGAAGTGCCCGGCCCGGGAGGAAGAGGAAGCGCGGGATGAGTTAGTGGGGCTCACGCGGCGGTATTCTTGCCCGTCGGTGTAGTCGTGGCCGAGTGGTTAAGGCGATGGACTAGAAATCCATTGGGGTCTCCCCGCGCAGGTTCGAATCCTGCCGACTACGAGCCGCGTCTCTCTTTTCCTCCCCGTGCCGGACGTTTTCTTCTCCCCGCTCGTTTTGCACCGGAGCCGCCGGCGCCTGACATCCGGCAGGGCGGCCGGTCCAGCCCCGGGAAGGGAGGCGGGACCTCCTCCCGCGGCCATGGAGCAGCGCGGCCCGGCGCCCGCAGTGCTGGTCACCACCAGGTACCGGGGACGGGCCGGGGCAGCGGCCCCGCGCCCGCCTCAGCAGCGGCCTCGGCGGGGCAGCCCGGGCCGGGGAGCGGGGAAGGAGAAAGGGAAGGGGAAGGAAGGAGAGGAAGGAAAGGAAGGAGCGCGGGGCGGCGGAGGCTGTGGGCTAGCCGGGCGGTGCTGTGTGGGTTTGCCCCGGGGCACTTCAGATGTTCTCCAGTTTTCCTGCATTCCTCAGCCGCCGGAGATCCCTGGCCTGTCCTGCGTGCCCTTTCCTCTTGTGATAGCTCCGGGTTGTTTGCCGTTCACTCTGGCGCAGCGTGTGCTGTCGCCCTCCGGACACATCTTTTCCTTGTCGGTGTTCCGAGGTGGGTGGGCAGGAATTAGGATTTATCCTGCGGTGTCAGCAGTGCTTTGCCCAGGGATGGGCAGAAAGAGTTTATTCTCCTTTCCCACTCCCTCGCAGCTGTCCCCTGCGTGGTGCAGGGGCGCTCTTCTCCGTTGCATTAGATTTTTAAACCCTGTTTCTTTCTAGGTGTAGTAAATGAATCCTGATGAGAAATACCTCTAGAAGAAAATGCTTATGGCAAATCTTTTATAGGGAAATTGATAGATCTCGCTCTCTCTCCTTTTTTTTTTTTTTTTTTTTTAATACCCACGAGATATTTGAGACCACATGAAAGCAATTTGCTATCAGATGAGACATGAGAAGCAGAAGTGTTGATTCAGCAAGATCCTTACCTCGAAGGACATAAATAATGACTATTTCAGTCACTCTAACTTCAAAGCCATTATTTTAATCCTTAAATATTTGGCTGATCAGGGCCGCATTTTCCTTGAAGCAGTGGCCTTGAACCTTCAAATGTATCTAATGTGATTAACAGATGTTTTGTAGGACTGACTTTATATTATGTTTAGCCTTAGAAAAGGAAATCCAAACACCTGGATTTATTTTACAGTTGTTAGATTGAAAAAGACGCATTTGCAAATTTTCCCACTGAAACTGAAATGCTTTCAGTGATAAACTTGGGTATATATGTATGTGGGATTAAGACTTTAGCAAGTGAACATACTCTCTAGCTTCTGAGGTGAAATAGCTGTATAGTTGTGACCTTTTCCACTTTTTTCCCCACATACTTATTTTGGGAATAGGATTCCTAGTTGCTGTGGTAATATAAATCATGGAATCACAGAATATGCTGAGTTGGATCATTGAGTCCAACTCCTGGCTCAGCTCAGGACATTCCAAGGATCACACCATGTCCCTGAGAGCATTGTCCAAACACTTCTTGAACCCTGTCAGGTTTGGTGCTGTCATCACTTCTCTGGGGAGCCTATCAAATCTGTATACTTGCACTTAGACTACACAGAGAAATAAACTATTCTGTGAGTACTTTGCCTTCACTTAATAAATAAAACAAGTTGTGCAATTTTTTCTCCTGTTATGACCAGGGATGTCACAGTTTGTTCTCTCTCTTGAGAGAGATTTTTGGAGCTGGGTGCTGCTGGCAGGGCTGAGTTTATCAAGGCAGGAAGCACAGACTCTGCTCTCCTGGCCACACAGATGCTGGCATAAATGTTTCTCTGGTCACAGCACTTGCATCTCTTGTTTTACTTTCTTGTGGAGGTAGCTATTAGCCACCCCCCCATGTTGGCCTTTCAGCACAGAAAGCAGATTATTTAAAATACAATTTAATTATTATATGCAAATCAAGGAACCAGTAGTGAGCACCCAGCTGTTCCGTGAACTATGGGAGCTGCTCAGTTCAGCTGACCTTTTATAGTCTGCACTTCCTCTGTTCTGGGCCAATCCTGCATGATCTGATTGTGCAATGATCTGATTCACAGCAGTGCTGCTGGTATGAATGGTCTCCTTGTATTTGGGTGAAGTGATTCCTGTTAGGAAGGTTAACCATGTGCCCAGGTCTCTGGTGAACTGCTTTGTAGACAGAAGTGTAAACTGGAGATAAGCTAGATTCAAATAAAGAGTAGAAGCAATAAACTGTGTGCCCTAGTTAAACAACTAGTTATCTCCTTTTGCTGCCTTTTTTTTTTCTAAAGCTGCAAGTGTAAAAATAATTGTTTTTATGTGAAAAATGCAGTGAAACTATATTCTGTCTTGGGGTTTGCAGGTGCTGATTCTGTTTGAATAACAATAACAGTACTTAATTAGTTAAAACATTAAGGCTGCTTATTTTGAAGACATTAAAAGAACTAGGGAGCACTTTGGATAGGATGTTCTGTTTGTCTCAGCCTCCCTGCTGATTTCTGTTTAGAATCAGTTTTATATTTAAAAAGAAATGCTAATGCTATAGAAGATAATAGGGCTGGGTTTCCTGTAGGAGATGATAATGAAAGTCATCATAAGGCCTAAAGCAAACAAATTAAAATGTAGCTATTCCCCCTCCCTCTAATCATTTTCCATGACATTTTAGCACAGACTTCTAAAAACTTTAAAAGAAAAACTCTGGGTATAAGGTACTTACTAACTTCATTGCAGTTTCAGAACTCTCTAATGCAGCAGCTCTTACAGTGAAGTTGTCATTGTGTCATCTCAGAACATCTGTACACAGTTGCTGTTTTCAGCTAAAGGCCATTGATGATGATTCACTGGTCATTACTCCTTTTATTTATATTAGAGGTGAAAAGCAGGTTAAGTAGTCATTTATACTCTGTGTTAACAGAAGCAGAATCACAGACTCATTTGAGACGGAAAAGACCTTTAAGATCATCAACTCCAAACATTAACCCAGCACTGCCACATCCACCATTAAATCCTGTTCCCGGTGCCTCATCCACACATCCTTTCAAGGACTGGTAATCAGACTTCCCTGGGTTAGTAAACCATTCCTGAGTATGAGAGACAGACCTTTTTGCTGCCATAGCTGCAATCACAACCTCTGAGCGACTGTACATCTGGAGAGCTGTTAAGATCTGATTATTGTGATTATTGGAGAGAGATGCTTCTACCCAAATTAACGTGCAAATGAGATCATATGCTAAAATCAATAATGCAGATTTTATTAAGTGAAATGTGTGAGAGACAAAGACACAGAAAAGAGGGTGGTGGGAAAAGCAGAGAGAGAACAGTTATGTAGAAAGATAATCACTAGCCTTGTGGATCCAGCAGTGTTTTGTAGGCTCTTTTTCACCTTTTTTGGTGGTAAGGGTCCCACAAAACATAAAGTTTAATGGGTTAATATGCAATCAGGTATATATGGGCATGCTCAAGCACCTCCCCTGCAGAGTGGAATTTTGCTACACTGAGAATCATGTACACCCTCTGATGGAAGGTCCCAGAAATAAATCTGGGGATGCTTTGGGTGACTTTGCAGGCTTATGACACCTTTTAAGACATGACAGCTGCCTTTCATGCCTTTTATACCCCATCAGAAGGGATAAATACCCTCAGGCCTGCATGTGAGTGTGAATGTCCTGTGCTCAGTATGTCTCTTTTGAGACAGTGGACTATGGTCTCCTCCAGTCAAGAGCTCACCTTCAGCACAGTTGCTGGGCTGGCCTTCTCCATGGACTCCTTGCAGTGTTCCACTCTTCTCCCCCACTCTTGTTTACCTCTCCTTAGGCCTGAGATAACTTGGACAATAGTACTGCCTTTATCTTATCTCAAGTCTCCATCAGGTGGCTTAATTTTCTGTCCATATTTCCAGGAATTTGTGGGGGCAGATTTGGGGTGAGACAAAAGTCCAGGAATTTGATGGTTGCAGATGAGGAGTTGCCAGAGTGGGCAAAGTCCTTGATGATCTTAATAGTGTTTAGGGCTATTGTGATCTGTAAGTCTCTTCTAAGAGCATATCCTGTGCTGCAGGTGTAGTCCAAAAAGGTCCAGATCCAGCTGGTTTTACTGGCACATGCCCTTAGAGTCAGCATTTTGGCTGCTACTGAAAGAGGCAGAGTTCCAGATGATGGTTGTTACTCGCAGATCCCACAGGCTGCTGTGTGAAAGCCAAGCACCTGTGTATTCACACATGGGCACTGCTGGTCCTGTGTTTTAGAGCCAATCACGAGTAACTGAGAACAAAATTTTGTCTGGATATGTAAAGTGAAGTCCTTGACTGGCAGAGCATGAGAACAGAATCAGAGCAGAGAGAATAGCATCATCAGAACATGAGATGGTAAAGCTGTTGTTAAACCCCTAATGCTTTAAACATGGCTTGCAAAGAGGATTGGGTACAAAATTGTGTCTGTGTCCTTGTTTATTGTTATCCTATTTATCAGGAACTCTCAAGATACTCTCTTTAAAAGGCTTTTTATTCAAGCTTTGAATTAGAGATTCAGAGGTTGCCTTCTTGGGGAAGCTCAAATTTCATAAGAACTGATCAAGTTTTGACGTGATGAGAGGAATCTTTTGAAACTTTGTTTGAAACTAGATTGTTTAGGCCTCTTGAAAGTGTATATTAAGTTCTAAGCATTGTATATCCTCAGGTGAAAGGGCACCTGTGTTAATGAATCTAAACTTCCTGAAGGAAGAGGTAAGAATTCCACAAGAACTCTGCAGTCTGCAGGAAATCCAGGGAAGGTGGAACTTGATAATCCTCATGGTTAAGGTTTAAAAAGGCAGAATAAATGTTTAATGATCCTAGTTTTGTTTTAAGTGGTCCCTTCTGATTTCTCTAAAAAGCATTCACTCACACATCGGAAGAATGTGCTCAGAGATGTGTTCAGAGGGTATTCAATGCTCTGGATGGTGAACTTTGATTCTGGCAGAATACTTGGTTCCAGCGACAGCGAGTGGTCTGTGGCTTGGCATAGGGTAACTTTGGGGAAGGGATCTTTGATCAGTTTTGGTTTTCAGGCTATTGAAACAGACTGTTTATTTCATTAAATGTACCGATCAATGCTCCAACAGCAACTGCTTGGTCTTACTCTTGATGTGTGAGCACTCTAATATGACCTGGCATTCCTCTTGCAAAAATGTCATAAATATTTTCAAGTGGCAGTCCAGGAGGAAGGTGGCACCACAGTTCTGTGGATCTGAAGCGGTCAGGAGGAAAAAAATGTATTGAGTGAACTGCAGCAGCAACTCCCCTGTTGCATTTTCCTCCAGGAGGAGCCATGGATGGTTATTACTGCTGGCAGCTCTCAGAGGTTAATGCTGTGGTTGTCTACTTTAACTGGGTATGAAAGGACAGGTAGTTCTGTTTCCAGTAGGATCTTCTGTGGGAAAGCCAATATGTTTTGGCTAGTGTGCCCTTTAGGCTGTTTGGCAACAAGACTGTGTATGAGATAGAGCTTGAGGGATCATGTCCTCCTTTAACTTGCTCAGTCCTGATGTTTGTCTAATTTTCATCAAGGACCTTCATGGGAGGAAACTGATTTGCCCATCAGTCTGCGCCAGCAGCTTCCTTTGTATTTTGGCTTTAATCCACTTCCCTGGTTGGCTCTTCACAAACCTCAAGTTGTCCCTGTGCTCCAGGGAGCCCCTTCTTTCTTTCATGGCATCTTTCAGTTATTGTCTCTGTTGTTGCTGGAAATGTCCTTAGATAAGGGAGAGGTGGGTAGAGCTCTGCATGAGTCACTATGAACAGACCTTTGTCTCAAAATAAACCTGATGAGAGATCATTGGATCTTCTCACCATCTTAGCCATGCTGGGCTAAGAGCACTTTCAGCTCCTGTAAGTGAAGTCCCATTCTGAATGAATGCACATCTCTTCGCAGAAATGTTGTGTTCCTGGCATGTTGCCTGCAGTGGCTCATGGCAGGTGCTTTGGGATGGAATATGGAAAACAGGGCATGTCCCAGTTTGTCTTGTTACAGAGTAGGAAGTGTTGGGGACAGGGTCTGTGTGATGTCCTGTTCCAGTGAGAGCCTTTGATTTTCTTGGGCTTGTAACTGGGAGAGGGACAGTTAAAAGTCTTTGTGCCAGTGCTTGAACTCTGTGTATTCTCTTCCCTAGGCAAATTCAGAATGTGCACACAGGGCTGGATTTGTCCGTGCCAGAATACCAGGAAATCCGTGGGAAGATGATGTCTGGCCATGTCGAGTATCACATTGTTGTTGTTACCCGAATGGCTGCCTTCAAATCAGCAAAGCACAAGCCTGAAGATGTGGTTCAGTTTATGGTAAATATTTCATCAGACCTGTGTTAGTGATCACTTTCTTAATCAGCTTTGATTATTTCTGTCATGGTGTAGCAGATGCTTCATCATCAATCACAGCCTCTCCAGGTCAAGGTCCTTGGTAGGACAACACAGTCTGTACCATTTCTGCAGTTCCTATTCCGTTGTGTGTATTCCATTATCCACACAGTAATTGAACTTTTTATTCCAGGAGCTAAAAGTGACAATGACTGTTGTTGCCTTTAAAGCATTTTTCTTTATGGATCAACAAATAGAAACCAATTAAACTTTTTGCAAGTTCTGCTACAAATTAGTTTCTCTAATACATGTATCAGTACTAGACTTTGTAGAGAAACATGAAATAAATATATAGTAGCTTATTTGAATGGGTCTATTACCTGGACACAGGAAGTGTCCATATAAAACATTATTTAGCTGGATTGTCTTTTTCTTATACCTGCAGAGTAAAGGTTTGAAAGCACAGCACATGACTTAAAACATGTGAAACTAATCTAATCTATGGCATGTGCACATCCAGTTAATCTGTTGCCCCTAGGACTGTCTGTCAAGCTGATGGGAAAAGGTGCATTTAAGGTGTTCTGTTTGATCTTCTTTAGCTGCCTGCTGAATCACTCCCAAGAAGTGCATTTCTCTGTCCATTGACCATAAGGGAACACACCCTGTTGCATGCTGTGACCATCTGCTCTTTTCAGCTGTTTTGGCATTAACTGTGATGTCAGAGTGATGTGAGCGTGTGGTTACCTGGTAGACCATGACCTGTAGTGTAACTCACACTTTGTAGAAGATAGTTGTTAAAAACCTATTTAAACAATCTGATTTGCAGATAAATATCTGGCAGTGTTGTAAAGAAATGCTTTACAACAAATGAGATCTTCTGCATTTATTCCACACCTTGTGCTATATATAACTATGGTAAAAGCAGCAATGCTGGCATAGGAGTCTGTTCTGTTCACCCTCCTCATCCCTGGCTGCTTGTTCTTGCTCCGGCAGTGTTTCCTTTTGTGTGCCAGTGTTATGTAGCTATTCCATAACGTCAGCTCAGCAACTGCTCCTGGCGAAAAATGCGTATTTTGGAGTTTGTTATTCAGTACTGATTTACACCTGTTCCTTGAGCCTTTGACTTGCTCAATATAATTAAGTTTCTTCTAGGGCAGGGATGGGCCAGACCGGGGCACATAAGAGATGGGGATGTGCAATTGCTTTTTTTCATGCAGCAATGTCTACTTATGTTATGTAATTTTTCCACACAGCTCTGTGGAAGAAAGAATCTGGCTACACCTCAGGTGTTAAACTGGGCTGTTGTCATCTAACTTCATTTTGCATCATTTCAGAATAAGTTGATAAAATCAGCTTGTCTATAAAGTGGAGAAACAGACTTTGTACTGCAGCCCCTGTGCTTGCTGGGGTTGTCTGTTCCCCTGTCTCTCTGGGAGGATTTTCAGCACTCAGTTGCTCTTCTCAAGTGAAATGAACCTTCCTGATTTCTCCTATGGTGAGGTCTCCTGACATTTCATTCTTCATGAAGAAGAAAACTGGTGGAGCCTGACGAGAATAACATTTATCTCATCAGTTACTTTTTTTTCAGCTGACTAAATATGATATATTATCTAGTTTGTTGTGTGAGAGTAATTTAAAACCGTGAGCTGGGAGGTTGAGGATGGATGCTTTCCATCGATTCATTCCGATGAGTTTTGTCTGTATGTGTTACTGGAGGGAACCAAGGGATTCACCTGTCGTAACTTATCTCTCTGTAAGTTGGATATTTTAATCTGAGTCTGTCCATGCTTATATGGTCAGGGGGGAGGAGGGGAATGATGTGACTCATCCTCTGGAAATGTCTCTCTTCTTTGACCATAAAGGGAAAGTGTCTACATTATAGACATCTACATTATAGACAGCTGCAGTGAGGGGCTTCAACTCCAGACTGAAATGCTTGAGGGTCCATAGAGTTGCACACAAATCTCTGTGTGCACTCGGAGGTGCCCTGGGGTTTTCTACCTGGCCTTCAGAAGTTGTGGGTTTCCTATAGATCTTATGTGTATTAACCTGATACACACAAGCCCTCAAAGCATCTCAGATAGCATGGGATGCCTTTTTCTGGGTAGAACAGTCTGCAGATGTCTGTGTTTGGTTTTCTAAACTTCCATCCCCATCGGTGCAGTGCTGTTAAAAAGGATATAGCTGAGCATCTGCAGGGTGGGGGAACCCAGCATAAAGGTCTTGTACCATTTGAGAAACCCTAAATTACCGTAGGCGTGTGCACAGGGCTGGCAGGAGTGACAGAGGACATAAAGGCATTGGAACTGCCCTGAAACAGCAAGGAGAATACAGTGCAGCATCCAAGGTGCCACTGGCTGCCTGTGTTCAGGTGAGTTGAGCTTCAGTCACATTTCACCAAAATGTCATCTTACCAATGACTGTCATGGAACTTGACACCTCATGCCTGTAGGCAGATGGCTTAACCTAGAGAGAAGTGCCAGTCCTGTGACTGCCGGGGAAGGCAGGTCGCACCCAGAGTGTCTGTGCAGTGCCCTGTTCTGCTGGATGCTGGAGCAGCACGAGCAAGAGCTGTGACCCTTCCCCAGAGTTTGCAGTGAAGTGTAAGTGAGGTACCTGAGGAACAATAGAGAAGAACGAGGCTGCAATGGGCTGCAGATCTAACACATCAAATTTGTATCAGAGCACAGTGAGATGAGACATCTGAAGGAGGAAGGAGAAACTACTGTGTGCCTCTTCTGGAGCAGAATGGGAGAGGGGACATCTATTTTTGCTTTTTTTGAAACTTGGAGGAAGGAGTCAGTGACACAGCGCTGAGGTGACATGTAGGTTAGAGAAGGCAGGCTGGCATGGTAGGATTTTCCTTGTCTCTGGATACCAGTTTTTGGATTGTCTCTGTTTTGGCCAGCTGGGGAGCCAGGTCTGTGTTTTGTGGCTCCTCCTTGCCCTGTCGCTGTCCCCGAAACCTCAGAGGAGCGACTGCTCCAGCCCTGCCCTCAGGGCCTGCACCAAGCACAGTGAGGACCAGTGGCTCCTCTTTTCCCTGGGAAGGGACGGTGAGCAGGGCAGAAGCGCCCTCTAAGCTAGCTCTGGTCTCCAGGATCGAATTGCAGGGTCATTTGGGTGGGAAACAGCCTTTAAGATCATTGACACAGCTTTTGATGGATCACCACCTTGTCAACTATGCTAGAGCACCAAGTGTTGTGTCCAGATGTTTCTTGAACAACTCCAGGAACTCCAGCACTTTCGTGGGTAGTCCATTCCGACGTTTAATGACCATTTCTGTGAAAAAATTATTTCTGATGTCCAACCTGAACCTTGCCTTGCAGCTTGAGGCTCTGTCCTCTCGTCCTGTCAAGACTGAGAGATGTGTTAAGGCCCTATGACAGAAACCAGATAAACATCAAAAAGAGTATTCAGATCTGACCTGTGAAGCCTTTACTGTGAGTCTAAACAATCCAGAGTGCCCTATTCCCCAGCCTTAACAGGACTGTGCAAAATCAGCATCACAGCATCTCTAATTAAAATGTTTGTGAAACATTACCAGAAGAAGAAATTCACTTCTGTGATGACATTCTAAATTATTAGACAGTGGAGGGATTTTTTAATTTAAAAAAATGCTAATTTAAAATAGGGCAAATGGGTTCTAGAACTGCATAACCCTAAGGTTATATTTGGTAATTAAAGGAAAAGTCAGTTGCATTTCTTTCAAAGGTCAGAATACTCTTGTACTATAGAAAGAGGGAAATTGATTTTCTCTTTGGTACTGCTACCAAGGTGATATTTAATTATTGCCTGTAGATTTGCCATTTTCTGTGATAAAAAGAAAAGACTTTGCTTTTCTTAAAGGTATTTCTTCTAGCCACACCTTAGCTTTTTTAGCAATTAACTTCTCCCTTCCCAGTCTTATTAAAAATCCACCCAGCCTTTAGTGCCTTCTCTTTTTATCTGCATCCAGTTTAATTCTTCTGCACAACTTATTTGTTAGTCAAGTTTTTTCTTTTTCAAAGCTGAACAAATAACTACCGGTGTTTGACAGGCATAGCACCATTTAGGGAGGCATTTACTATAGAACTGTCTTCCTCTCTTAAAATGAGGTAGTGTATGAGTACATGGGAGTGTATGAGTATGTGGGTGTGTATTCATTGTTCAGTGTTTTCATCATTGCCTTTTTGCATATTTTTTTTTTATTGGGCCTCAAAATCTGTGCATTGGAGTTGCTTTTTCCTGACTATACAGGTATGTTGTGAAGATAAATTCCTTGATTTATGGCTTCTGTGATGTGAGAGGAGGGGAAAGAATTAATGCTCAGTGTAGCAATAGGTTCAGGAGCCACTAAGGATTCATGCTGATTAAAAAGAAATATTAGAGTTCTTGCTCTTCTTCTGGGCAAAACAGATGAGAAGAACAGCATGTGGTCATGTAATTAAAATCGACCATAATGCACACCCACAGGGTCACCAAGCAACATTTATTCTGGTATGGCTTGAATTGCAAGTTTCCAAGCGAAAGCTTGGCTTGTGCTGCTTGGGAGAAGGAATGCTTTTGATTCCTGTACCCAAAGCTAGTGGTTGTTTAAGAGGACAGAGATGCTGGATCTCCCTTTTTTGACAGTGTTAAGAAGTGGACTTTATAAGAAGAAAGTCACAGTAGCCCTGGTTTTCACGAAATACTGTAAAATCAAGCTTGCTCTTTGTTGGTGTGCACTGGCTGGCAAAGGGCTCGAGTTAGCTCTAAGATCTCCATTTTGTTGAAATCCTTGCAGTAGATATAAAGCATATGAAGACAAGTTTGATGTCACAAGTGGGGCAGTAAAAGGAGCTTTGAAGGGAAAGGAGGCATTAAATAGCTTTAATACTGAGTTTGATCAAATTCTGTGCTCAAGTGGGAGTCCCAGGCTCGTATCCTGCAGCCATTCCGGTGTGTACTTTTCTGCGTGAGGCCCTTGGGAAAAGGAGGGCAAGGCACATGCATGAGATTTGAGGGATTAGTAGCAAACTTCAGACTTTCACTTTGAACTTCATGGTGGTTTTCTTAACCTTCTAGCTATACTTGATCACATTCAACTTATTTGTTCCTAGTGAAAAAAAAAAAAAACCCAAAACATTCAACCCATCCCTGTCTTTTAAGTTCTGTGTTGGATGTTAATTGTTACAGGCAAATAAGGTCTTGACCTGGCAAATGTGCACATGCTTTGCTGTATTTGCATGATTAACTCTTTTGAAGTGAATCAGATTGAGCCTTTGATATTGTGACTTGACAGAACTCCTTGAAGTGTGTGCACTCAGGCTGACTTACAGGTGTGGGGGCTTTAGATCCACCGTGTTCACAGAGTTCAGTGAGAGGCATGGAGGGGGAGAGGATAACTGCAGGATCAAGACCTGGAGGAATTACAGGAAGCAGAAGAAAAATACTAGAATATTAATCAAATCAAATTTTGTTTGCTTAATAGGATTGATAAAATGGGGTTTAGAGCAGTGCTTATTTTCTATCCTGACATTTTGGGCCATAGGATCCATCAAGGATTTTCAACGGGCTGTAAGTGATAACCAGGAAAGGCAAGAATTAATTTTGTTGCATGCTGATACACCTTTCTCCTGTAAAATTAACAGAGGATGTCAAATTGAAAGGGTCCAGAATTGCTGCAGCAGAGAAGTGCTTTCTGACTAGAAAGGTGTGAGAATGGTCTGCGTCATGTCTGGGATTTGCTTGAAAAAACACACTCTGGAACCTGTCTGGCACTTGTGTAAGGCCTCTGTGCTGCTGCATCCAGCTCTGGGGTCCTAAGTACAGGGAAGACATGGACTTATTGGAGCAGATCCAGAGGAAGGGTACAGAAGTGGTCACAGAGCTGGGACAGTGAGGACACTCAGGGAGCCTGTTCATCCTGGAGAAGGCTCCAGGGTGACACTAGACCCCTTCCAGTACATGAAGGGGCTATAAGAAAGCAGGAGAGGGACTGGTTACAAGGGCCTGGAATTGATGAAGGGGAATGGCCTTAAGCTGAAGAAGGGAAGGTTTAGTTTAGATGTAAGGAAAAAATTCTTGACTGTGAGGGTGCTGAGCCACTGGCATAGCATTGCCCAGAGAAGCTGTGGCTGCCCCATGCCTGGAACTGTTCAAGGCCAGGTTGGATGGGGCTCTGAGCAGCCTGGTCTAGGGGCAGGTGTCCCTCCCATATTGAACAGGATGATCCTTAGGGTTCCTTCTAACCCAAACCATTTGGTGATTCTCAGCACAGCAGTCTGGGGCTGCTGAGCTCAGCCAGCCTTACCCCGGCATTTCCAGCACCAAACCCAACCTGGCAGCAGAGCTGAGCGAGGGTGTGGAGGGGCCCGTGGCTGCCAGGGCTTGAGGCACAGGGACAGCGGGTGAGGAGCCCGGCTGGCAGGGGCTGGCAGGGGCCAGCGCTGGGCTTAGGAGAGCTGGGAATGGTTCTGGCTGCAGGGCTGACCCCTCGCTGGTACAGCAGGGTGTTCCAGCAGAGGGCATCCCGGCACTGCGGGATTTCGGCCTGCTCGGTGTGCTGCGGGCTCTGGGAAGCGCATTAGCATGCTCTAGGGACAGTGCTGTCACACTTGGTATTCCGTGTCGCCTCTGCGTTCCCGGCGTTGTTGTTCAAAGCCTACGCAGATCCACAAAGGCGCAATTAGCGATGGGATGCGAGGGTGTGCGTTTGCTTTAGGTTCAGTGGTGTAATTAGACATAAATTGAGATTTATGAATAATTTACAGACGTTGATAGAGGAGGAATGAAAATTAAGTGGGGAAAGAAATAAGTTTGTGTATCTCAGTTCACTGTTAGAGTATTTTTAAAAAACTGTTTTGGCATAATCTTGATTGGCTGCTGTCTTATAATGCTTTCAGAAATTAATTTGGTAGCTATTATTGAAATTAATTACATGTTAAATGTTTTTCGCAAATCAGACAATTTTTTTTTTTTCCTGGGTGTATGGTAATGATGTTTATGCTTTTGAAAGAGCACCAGTGAATTCCTTACTGCCCTTACATTGGTGCTTACATAGTATTTTTGTGAGGGGCTCAGGCATCCTACCATGCTCAGAGTGCTACTGGGACCTAGCAAACTAAAAATGTACAGCAGTTCAGAAGCTCTGGAATTGCTTTCCCCTCTCTTTTTGGGGTGTCTTTCAAAGGGAAGATTGTGATGTTCTGGAACATCTCTATTGCCCTCACTTTAGTGCCTGGTTGCTGAATGGCATTTCACATCTGGCATGTGGAGCACAGTGTTACTCACACTTAACCTTTGTTGCTTTCCCAGGACAACTCTAAAATTCTTGGTTTTCATTCCCCTGTCGACTCAGGTTGGGTGTTGTGTTTCAGATCTTTGTTACAAAGCTGCTTGCTTTTTGTTACTGGGCACTGAACCCACAGTGAACATTGTACAGCTGAAATGCAAATGCTTTTCCAAATCATCTGGCTAGGTTGATAATTACTGCGAAAGGCAGGGAAGCATGAAGCTGAGGTGGTTATTGCTCTTTATGCCCACATCTGAATCAGTGAACTGGCTGAGGTGTGCCTGTTACTGCCAGGGCCTGTTCCTGGCCTGGAGGGCAGCTCACACACTCTGCCTGCATGCGCAGCATTAAACTTCCTTACCATCTGCAGTGTGCATCAGTGCCCAAACTGGCTGCTGAGGGATCTCTCCACAGGGCCAAATCTTGGGCTGAATAGTTATCTGGGGGTATGACAGCTGCCCAGAGTGTAGGAACTGTGCCAGACATTGGCAGGTTCCAGTAGACACTGTAAATGAGATGTCTAGTAGGTGCTCTCAGGTTCCAGTGGCTGGGAATATGCCTGATGCTGTTTAGTTTGCTTGCATAGATGCAGTGTAGGAATTCTGCATTGATCTGTAACTCATTTCCCTTATGTGCTTCTTGTTAGGTTGACTTTCTTTATCACTGTGTTGGTGGGAGAACTCTGTGTTGCTCCTTTCCAAGATGTGGTGCTTGAGTCTCTCCATCTTTTCTATCCATCTCAGTATGTGCAGTACTGCACATATTGCAGTGCTAATTAGGATTCACTCCTCTAGAGTTCAGCAACACGTGTTACAGGAGGATGAGAGCTGGACCCTAAAAGAGTGTGTCCTATGCATTCCACTAGCACTGGTTTTTGGGTTATTTTTAATCTCTGTATTAGTTGAAACAGTTTGGTAGATTATGGATCCATGGAGGGCCTCAACAAATATATTATCTGTATAACACCACAGAGCGGGGAAGTCACCCTCACTGCATCTGTAACGTCACTTAGAAACAGTGTTTTGTTTTTGTGTGGGTTTTATGTATTGGTTTAAGGTACTGAACTCAATACTTAATGTGGCATAAAAGCCACACCTTTCTAACCAACATTCCCATAGCTATTGCTTTCCTTGTAATATCTTAAGCCTTATTTCTCTTCAGGCTTCCTGTCTTTGTCCACAGAAGGAATGACTCTGCTGGCATCTTCTCCCTGTATGAGAACTTTTAGGGCATGGCCAAGTTGTTGATTTTTATTTTCTCATGGATAAACTGAATAGTCAGGGGTCAGCTGAGGTCTTTGCCCTTAGGTTTTTGTGTCACGTGCTCTTCAGGGCAGAAAACGTGACAGTTTTTTAGGCCTAAGCAGCCAAAGGGCACTGAAGCCACCAGGAGTGAGGAATGGGACAGTGGTGTAAAGACATGGGCAGCTTTCTTCCTGTGTACCTGCCAGGCAGGGCTTTTCTTCCCTCCTGTCTCTCAGGACTGGGCATCACTTTTAGTGGACAAGGATTCCTGCTGTCAGAAAGGTATCTGCAGCGGTGACCTTCCCAGTATCTCATTAGCTGATGAGTCAGACAAATGGATTCTGGCAATGAACTTTAATTCCATTAAGCAGTGGATTTTTAATAACAGAATTAGAAGACTAGCAACAATGCTTAAGGATTCACTGGATACATAGCAGGCTTTTGCTAGGCCATGTGTAAAACTCCTTGCTAATACATGGTTTTCCACTTCCACAGTTAATGTTTCACAGCACCTCACTGCTGCTTTGCTGCTCCTGTCTTTCCTGAAAAGAAATGAACTCAGGCAACACATTTTCATTGCAGGTTTCCAAGAAGTACAGCGAGATTGAGGAGCTCTACCAGAGACTGACAGCACGGTATCCACAGGTTTCTCTTCCACTCCTGCCTAGAAAAGTTCTCTTTGTGGGGGAATCTGACATCTCTGAACGAAGAGCTATGTTCAATGATATCATGAAATTCATCTCCAAAGATGAGGATCTAGCAACGAGTCCTGAGTTACTGGAATTTTTAGGTAACTAAAAGATGTGAGTGTCCCCTCTCCCATAAGTGTGCCTTTTGGAAGTGTTAAGTTCTTGATTCGGGCAGCCAAAAACTAGAGGGTGCCAGAATAAAGGTTGTCACTGAAAATATCCTCATGTGCATTTACAGTGCTGCACAGTCATGTTTGCTAGTGCTTCTCCCTCCTCTCAGTGGACACCCTCCTCATTCAGAGATATTGATAGGTACCTCCAAAGCATTGTGCTAGCCTGTCTCTGATTTCCTGCTGTGCTTCAGAACATGTAAGTTTAGAAGGCTAAATAGTCATACATTGTCAGTGGGAAGATGGACCCTAAAGGGATAGTGCAGGGTCTCCCTTAGTGAGCAACTCTTCCATGTTTTGTCTGGTTTTCCTGCAAATTATTTACTCTGAAAAAGATTTAAATGGAAACAGGTTCTTTATTAATTAAACACATTCTCTGGCTAGTTATTTTTCTTTTTAGGTTTTTTTCTTTTCTTAGTTTTCCTTAGCCTTATGTCCAGCTCTTGTTGTCTTGTCTAGTGATTCATACAGTACCTTTCTTATGTCCCTTGGGCATAGCAGGGAGTTACTGAATGAGTGGAACATATGAGTTCTCTGCTTTTGATTCAGCTGAGGGCTGCTGAGCATGGAATACTCCAGCCTGGTGCTGTGCAGGATTCTTAGTGGAGGGTTACTTTTAAGTAAATGAAGTTGCAAGAAGCTAACAAGTGTAAACAGCCCATTTTGCAGAAGTGTCAGGTGTGGCCGGATTAGTTCTGTGAAATTGGGAGCTTCCTAAAGTCAAAGGGGGCAAAGCTTCTTAATGTGTAGCAAAATTCAGGTAGTAAGGTTTTTGTTTGGGCTTTTTTTCCCTGGGCAGTATTCTCTTGAAAGCACATCCCTTGCACAGGTAATTCAGAATTCATGTTGATTGATCTTTGCATGCTGGTTAACCTAACCATGGTGCACGTCTGCAGCTAAACTAGGCTGAACTGCATTCTGTGCAATCAGAATTTGCCTTAGAATAATGTCAGTCTTACCCTGATTTGGCAGATGCAGACATGAAAAGCTGGGTGAGGTGACTCTCCCATGCCATGTTACTTCAATAGTCAAAATGGTATAACCATGCATTTTAGTCATCACAATTTTCAGTAGCCTTTTTTTTAGCTGGTCTCATGATTTTAAATTGTTTCCCTGGACATTCAGGAACTCGACAACAAGGAACCATTTTCTCCTCATTCTGCTGGCCTTTGCATGTAACAAGTATGGTGAGAAGACTTAGTTTTCTTTTCCAGTTGGCTGAATTTGCTGAGCTGGATGCATCTTGCATACTGAAGGGTGTTAGAACTTCAGGCTTCATTTTTCAGTGTAAACTGAAGAGCTGTTGTAGAAACATGCTGCCCAATGCTCTAATTTGAGCCCAAATTAATTACATTGTATCAAAAAGAGGATTTTTATCTCTACTAACTATGTGAAAGTTAGCTACCTACATCTATGCAGAGTATTTACAGTGTCTCTGTAGCCAGTAGAAGAGAAATAGGCCTTTCAATGAGAAACTCACATGACTTCATTTGGATGGGATGAATCACCGTGAGGAAATTCTGTTGTTTCTGTTGACTGTAGAAGGAGCATAAATAAGCAGATTTGACATGTGCTGCTGTGTCTCAGATAAAGTTCATTTCCTCTGTCTTTCTCTACTTAACTACTTTGAATCAGTAAACAGATCAGACACATAATGACACATAGTGAATAAAGAGAACAGTGGGAGTGTTTTGAAATTTCACAAAAGCTGATCATGTCCTTCCTTCCACAAACAAAACTCTCAGGAACAAGTGCAAGGTATAAAAAACCTGTAGTTGTTATCTTGTATACTCAGTTTTGCCTCCATTACTATGTTTTGCAGGAACAAAATCTTCCAGTGCCATTGACTTCAAGGGTAAAAACTTGCCTGATGACAGGGAGAAAGAAGATGAAGAAAATGAGGCCTTCGATTTTTTCAAAGAGGAGAAGACACCTGACTTAATCTCACAGCTTTTATCAGTGGAAGGTGTCAAAAAGTGGGAGAAAAAGGAAGGGGGAGATGAGGAAGAAGAGGAAATTTTAGACCCTCTTGGTATAATCAGGTATGGCTAAAATTCTGTAAATTAGATATTTAGACTTCAGCCTTTCTGAATAAGGCTGTTGTATGTCACTGTCCCCACATCACTAAATTTCACAGGGGAGGACAGGCCTCTGTAGTTCATGAATGAGGTACTTTGATAGATGGAAGAGACTTTGTAGTGCCTTTTCAGTACATTCCTCAGGACATCGAAGTGACAGGGACATCATGAGTGCCTTGGTAACAGTCCCAGCTGCAGAGGGTACTTTGCTGGGCACTGCAGGGTTCCGCCACAAAGCATCAGCCCTCCAGCATCCAGTGGATGTGCCTTCTGGAGTACACAGGACACTCTGATTACAGTGTCTGGAACTGCTTTTCTGCTCACTTGTGGCTTTTCTTTCCTTTTGCCTTTGTCTGAAGGTGTCACATGCTAAATGCCACTAAGGCATATGCAGTAACAGCCTGAGTGATTGGGTCAAAGCTTCCTGATACTGCTATCTGGGTGTCTTTACCTGTCCAGTAATTTTCAGTCAGTTACTTTCTTCACTTCAAGATGGAATTTCTCACTGAATTCCAAACTGATTTCTAACTACTAAAGTCTGGAAGCAAATAAAGTTTTTCTGTGCTGGGATCATGAGTATCAACGACTCCTTAGGGTGTCTCAGGCTTTAGATGTCCAAGTGAAGAAGGTGTACCTGTTCTTGATCTTCAGTAAGCACTGACTGACCCAGCTGGATGGTTCCTGCCCCACCTGGATGGTTCCAGCCCTGCAGAGTCACCAGCTGCTACTGAATGTTGTCTTGGATCTAGACTGTGCTTTCAAAGTGCTTCTGCATAGCAATAGGCAGTAACTGAGTGTAACAAGCCAGAGCCCTCTCTTGCCGTTTCCCAGTGGCATTAAATCATTTCCAGGGGATCATTCACTCTAGGTCTAAGCTGGAGTCTCTTACACTAAGTGTGGTCAAATAAGATGAATAATACTGGAAGCACTATTTGGACTTTCTTCCTGCTATTATAATCATATGTAATTGTGTATGCCCAGGCACTGTCCTTTTTACTTGAAGTATTTAATCCTATAAATCAGAAAAGATTCACCAGAAAAAGATCACCAGAAAACATTAACTATTGCTCTTTTGACAAAATGTGCTGAATTACTCAGCATCAAAATTATTCTTTTGTTTAAGGAGAATTTAAAATTTTAAGTAACTATTTACAACAAGAAGTTAGATAAAGCAATACTTCCCACAAAATGGTCCTTAGTATTTTTACAAAAGCAGCTGTCCTTTTTTGGCTAGGAAAGTGATCTATTGGGTTAGCAAATGCAATGTTATATTTTCCAACTTACAACAAGTAGAAGCTGTAAAGAGCTTGCTATGCCAAAGCAAGCAAGAAGTTTGCTTTTCTCCTCTGCACAGCTTGACACAGCATTTGAAAATCTTGATTATTTTGGTCTTCTAATGCACTGAAGGATGACAAGATCTGGTATTTAATCCTCATTTAGTTTTTTGCTTCAGTTCCTTCCAAGTACAGAATTCTTACTGCGTAAAAATAACTTCATTTATATAAGAAGTATGGTCTTCACCAGGACAGAGCTGCAGCTCTGCAGCAGAAGTTATGCAGTCAGATGTTTTTCACCCTAAAACAGTGGCTGGCTATCTGTAAAAGAAACTTCCATATCTATTTATTATTGTTTCTGTGATTCTCACGTGTACAGTGTTGGGGCAGAAACATGAAGGTGGAAACAAGAATTCTGAGGGGTTTTTTTTCATTGTCTCTGTTCTCCTGTAACTCATCCTGCTTTCATGGAAATTATTTTCAGCTCACATCAGTGGAGATCAGATTGTACATCAGCACTGTATCCCAGTTCTGTGCCATCTAGTAAGAGGTGTCTAGGTGAGAGGCCAAAGGCAGGAGATAGTGGTCAGTGGATATGCAGTTCTCAGGGGACATTTTAGGGTGTCTTCTATGCCTGTTAAAATGTTTGGTGCTTGCTTCCTTTGAAGAGGGAGCTGAAACCCCACAGCTTTAGTGCTTCACGTGTGCTTGAAGTTATTTGGGCATGGGAATGAATAAACGGGAGGTGAAGAAGATAGATAAATGTGTTTAGTAGTAAATTGTCCCCTAGTGCCTAGTAAATTCAGGTTAAAAAGGGAAAAAAAAAATCCATACTCCTTTCCTCTCTGAAAAACCTTTGGAAAGCTGTAGAGTCAGCACTGAAACAAGCCAGTCCATTTTGTGAAGTAGTGGTGTCCAGAGTGCTTTGAGCAGCAGAGCTCCAACCTAAATTGAATCATGTGTTTGGCATAATCTTACAGGTTTTTGCTTTCTGGATGAGGATGAAACTGCTCCAGTAGCACAGGCCTCCATATGCTGTCAGCATGCTTCATTTGGTAACAACTTCTCCTCCTGGGCCAGAAGGCTGTGAATTGGATTTGGCCCAGCACTGCTGCTGTGCTGCTGAACCACCCAATATCCAGTTAAATATCAGGCCTTAGGGGTAAAATGCTAAGCTAGAGCCTTTTTTTTCCTGGTTTTGTATTGCTGGTGTTCATCCAGGTGGAAGCTCATAATGGCCTGGTTCCTTTTGCCTGGAAGAGACATCCCAGGGGTGCTGATTCTCTGCCTCGCTTTCAGGGCTGTGTCTGAGTTGTTCTTTGATGGCAGGTGGGCAAACTCACTTGCCAGTTCAGCTCCTCATGTTCTGTGGGTATTAATGATGATCTACAAACTTTGTGTTTCTCTGTTGTATGGTTCTTATGCCTCAAAGCTTTTTCTCTGTGTTAGCAGGGTGATTCTGGGATTCTTAAAAACAGAAAGACTTGAGGTTTTGCTGTCCAAACCAGGAACATGTGAAAAACAATACATATTTCTCATTAAGTTTTCATCTCTTAACATGCCTCCTCCTTTATATTTTTTTACCCCAGAAGCCTGGTTCTTCCTAGAATAAAAGATGCTCAATATTAACTTACATTTGTAGGATGCAGTGTTGATATTCATTGAAATATGTGTTCTTCTCTTCACCCTCTGCCTTTCTTGATATTTTGGAGTAGCGGTATTTCAGTGTATTGTCACCAATTACTCTGCAAGCTTTCCTGGACATTTGTAGAAATCTTTTCAGCTTTGGACAGAATATACAGGTCCTGTAAGAAAAATCACTCATACTACAGAGTAAGACTATCCTTTGATATCAGCTGTGCATAAGGGAATGAATTGTAGTGTAGTCACTTTTGCAGCAGTGGCACACTTTTAGCTCTCTTTCACTTTTCTTAGCACTTTAAGTATACAGTGACTTGTAAGTCACTATAAGGCTCTCGCAGCATTTTTTTTAAAAGGTGCATCTCTTGGGTTTGGGGTTTTTTTTTTTTCACTTTTTTTCTCTTTAGCTACAATCATTATAATATTCCTTTGTTAAAGTGTTTTAATTCCCTTACAAGTAGGAAATCAGATATGTAATTAACTCCTGTTGTAGGGACAATATTAGGTATATTGACTCAGCTTTGTCACCACTCTTTGTCACTCTTCTTTAAATTAATAGGGCTCAACATTTGCAGATACATATTTTTAAATCCTTAGTAGGCTACCATAGTGCTTTGGTATCAGAGTTTTTAAAGGTGCAGTATTTTTTAGAAATATTTTAGAGGATTTTCCTCATAAATTGCAAAATAGTATTGTGTGGCTAGTCTCAGTTGCAGGGAGCTCTCCAGCTGGCATGCCTTTAGAAATGAAAGAAACAAGAGCAATGGATCTGAAAAAGGTTAATCCTCTGAAGGACAGGGCATGGAAGAGCAGCACAAGCTGGATGAGCTATTCACCTGAACCTGATGGTACTGTTGAAAATTCTGCAGTGGAAAAAGGTGGGATTTGCCAGTGGTTTGAGGGGAGGTTGGCATGGAGTGAGGGGAGCTGTGTGCAGCAGGGATGCAGAGCAGCAGCAGTGCTCAGCCAGCTCAGCCAGGGCTGACTTGGCCGTGTCTGGCCGTGGCTGTACCGTGACATTCTCCTGTCCTCTCAGGGAGGTTGGCTGTGTCCAGAATGCCCACAGCAAGTGCCTGCTGGCCTGGGCTGCCTCCTGGGCTGTGATTGGGATGGTTTGGGAGAAGGCAGGTTGTCCCATGCCAAGGTGTACCAGGGGCTGTTCTAACAGCTTGAACTGTTGAACCAAGCTACTGTGCTCAGGCCCAGACTGTGAAGGAACTACTCAAAAAAAACAGTATGTCCCCTGTTCTTCTACCCACAGAGCTTTCTGCCTGCTGCTATCTTTCTCCACTCTGCCCTCAAGCTGCCCTAGGGCTTGGCTTTCTGTAGACAAGTCAGGCATCCAGTTGGATGCTTAATCCAAGCAAGATCAAGTTCACATTTCCAGGTATTCTTCTTAAAGCAAGTTAAAAACACATCACAGTAACTGAATTGGGTTTTGTCTTCTTCCTCTGTGGGTAAAATACAGAGTTTTACTGTTTATATTTTGAAGCCAAGAGCTTTAGCATCCCTCTCCTCCCACTTTGTAGTCACAACAACTGAATTTAGTACTTGTACTTAGTTCATTCCAAAAAACCTCAGACAGCAGCTGATTAAAATGACTGAAGCAGCTCCTCTGAACAAAGCAGCAGTAATTCTGCAAAAGGAGTGTGGCTGCCTCATGGGTTAAACATGCAGCAGCCCTTTCCATGCATGCATGTCTTCAGCTGCAATTACCTTCTGAGGTAATATTTGTTCACCACTTTGGGTGAACCCACCTTTTCCTGAGCTTTTTTTCCTGTCTTCATCAGCTCTCTGCAGCCTCTCCTCCACACAGGGTTCCTCCCTTCCGTCCTTTTTCCTTTGCCTCCCTAAATCTTTCAGTGACATCATGTATTTCCCCAGGCATAGGTTTTTCCTGGCAAACTGCACAGAGGTGAGTATTCCCTAGGCAAGAGTTCTTCTATCTCATCATGGGTCCTGGAGAATTTCTTTCTTGACTCTGTGCCTTTACTATTGTTTCAGAGGATTTCCTTACGACTTCTCCTCATCCAAATCTGTGCCTCTCCT